CATCCAAATAATCATACGTATTAAAAATAATTTAGGTACTTGCCAAAAAGCAAAATTAGTAATTTTTAAACACACAAGTACAGGACAAATTACAACATATGCTCAAAATGGCCACCACCATTTTTGATGTACGCACGACACTTTCGAATCCAATTTTTGCGCACTCGCTGGAAAACGCCTCAAGGAAAGGAAATAGTGGTACGCAAAAAACACTCAGACATGGTTCAATTCCAGATATCAACTGAATTGCATATTGCTGGACAGTTTAGTACCTTGTGTTATCCGCCGCGCCGTTGTCACATTGCTCGATATGAATTTTATCGAATTTTAAATTTATTACAACGCTAATTATTTTTTAGAATTAAGCATAAAGTTCAAAAAAGTGATAAATATTTTATTTTATGGTATTCTATGCACGTAGTTATGTCAATATTTCTTAATTAATCGAACTTTTGTACATCAAGTTGGAGATTTTGACAATTTTTTTCTCGGAAATGGTTGTTTCGGATATAAGGTTTTTTTGTTTATTTTAATGTATTTTATCCTCCGTTAAAATTAAGGCAGTCAAACTTCTAACATCCTGTATATTGTCTTCAAATTCTGCCGGTACTTTTTAATCAAATAAAATATGAAAAAGTTAGAAACACAATTACGAGTATATTTAGCACTTTTGTTCAACATTTTTTTTTATTTTATTCTAATTAACATAATTTACTCTACTGAAGCGTGAGATACCAAAGCCATATCGAACAAGAGTACCTATCATTTTTGAGTCAGTTATATCATATCCCATAGTCTTTGTCGCGAGATTATTGTAGTTGAGAAGATTTGTGTCAACTATTATTTAGATCTGAACAGCCATAGCTATTAAGTAATTATAAAGCTTCAGTTTGGCAACATATTGGGTATAGAAAAACCCTTTGCTTTTAGATCTTTGAAAATTTAGGGCACAATCGATCATTTGGTAAGATTGATAAAAAAATGAGTTATATCGATTAAATTAAATGATGATGATTGATTGGCATTTTTTGGCGATATTATAATTCAAATGAGTCCATAAATCATAAGAACTGCGCTCCACCAATTCACTCTCTTATTCAAAATATTCTCTATAGGAATCCAAAAACTTATTTCTTTTTTATTATTTTTCATTTCTGTCAGTTCTTTTCCTTTTGCCAATTTTCATATCAATGCTAGTGACTTTGTTAGAAAAACACAGTTACAACAAGGAACAAATATAAAATCTTGTACGGGGTGATTAACTATATTTTGATCCCCCCCCATTAACTTTTTTGTTTTAAGAGTTACAAAAGAATTTGAAATACAAAAGTTGCGCTATTTTTTACGAAGTTCTTGAAATCAATAGTAGAAAAACAAATGAAGCCCAAACAAAATAAAACGTTAACTTTGTTAGTTTAAATGGAACGCCCCGTATATTTTTACATATTTAGATAGAACCTTTCCTATCGAGCATAGTCATATAGGGTTTGTTGGGTCCATCTCTAACAATAAGTGATATATTAAAAAACGAAAAGAAAGTTTTATATTAAGAAAATACATTTTGTAATTGTTAGACCTCTTTCGGGCATTTCTGCCTTTTTCCAATTACGTAAGGATTTAGATTTAGTTGTAATATATTTTGACATATCGGACATTGATATAGTCCAAAATGCGTACAGGTATTTTAAGTAAATCTCACTAATTAGACCGTGTGAGGCCAATTACTCATGGACAAAAAGCAGAAATGCCTGACAGAGATGTAACAAAATGTCTTATTTTCTTAATAAATGACCTTCTTTTCGTTTTTTAGTATTATCTCGTTTATTGTTAGAGATGGACCCAACAAACCCTATATGACTATACTAGACAGGGAATGTTCTATTCAAATATGTAAAAATACACAGGGTGTTCCAGTTTGTGGCCATTTTGTTTTTCTACTATTATTTTCGAAAACTTCATAAAAATCTTGTATTGTTTTTATTAATTATATATAAAAAAATAATAATAAATCAAGCATTTATTAAACGAAGGGAGCAGCGCAAATAGATATTTTTAGATCTCATTATTTTCCTTTACTTTCATAAAATTATTTTCTATTCCAAAAAATATATCTCTGTTTTGTTTTCCACCGGAATAATTTTTATATGTTAATAATTTGACTGACGACGCCAATGGCTAGCGGACCGATTGTAACAGCTCTAATTATAATAAAAAATAATCATTTTTATTACACTATTTTTGTCTAAAAATACATTATAAAGAACAATAAGTAGTACTTACAGATATGGGAAAGTAGGTACGTGATTTGATAGAGATATCACTCTAAATTTATCATTTAATGAGCCCTAAACCGACTTTTCTTTTCTTCTCGATGTGTGTAGGAAGTAGTGATACTGTAGGTCACTTCAAGTCGGCAGGTATCCGGTTGGCTCCTAGCATTTTTAGGGTTGTATGAAGCAGAATCGAAAGGATGGGCGGGGGCTCTACAAGGGCTTAAATGTAGAGATTCTTGTTCTCCGGTGGTCTCCAATAGTCTTTTGTCAGATGGCGTTTCAAAGGAAACCGGTGGTTTGTTATTCATATCGATTCTACGGATGTGGACAGCAAAAATTTTACTACACTGTAAATTAAAAAAATTACTAAATAAACCAGTGCGCTACAAGGATCAGCCGGGGTTGGTTTTAACAAATATTTATCCTACTTTGAAATCTCACGGTGAGAAGTAAAATATTTACTTTTTCAAATTTTATACAGGGTGATTCAAAATTCAGTACAAAGAATTTAGGGGCGTATTTTTGAAGTCCAAATAAGACTTTTTTTTTCTATAAACGTGGGTCCACAAATACTTAGTTTTCGATATACAGGATGTTAAAATTTTTTATTTTTTTTGATTTTTTAAGAATAATTTCCAAACAAATTTGAATGTTGGCATAAAACCTGGGGTACGGGGGTGTTTTAGGATGCTAAATTTAAATATGTAATTGGTTTTGACGTTGCTTGTATAGAGCACCACCTATAAGGGTGCGCTTGAATTAAGTTGGTCCTGACTAGTGACAATACAAGCGTTTAGTCAGCAGTGATTTTCTCGAAAATGGTTAGTTGTATCAAAAAAATGTAAAGGGCTGAAATTTAAGATCATTGCATTACTGATTAGATGGTGGATAAATTTTAAAATTTTTCACTGTAAATAGTTTGAACAAATAAAATTTGAAAATATGGTGTGCATTTAACTTGGAAACGGTTGGGCTGAGAAATTTTGACCAAGTATACCTTTTTTTGCTTAAAATTGATAGAGGAATAAACACACTAATACGAAACGTCAATGTACAGGGTAGAAAAAAAGTTAAAAATAAAAAACTTTAACATTCCGTATATCGAAAACTAAGCATTTGTGGACCCACGCTTATAGGAAAAAAAAGTCTTATTTTGACCTCAAAAATACGCCCCTAAATTAATAACAGTAAAATTACGAAAAACTTAATAAAGAACGGTCAAAGATAAGAAAAAAGGTAATAGTCATCTGTTAGTTTTTAAGAACAAAAGTGATTTGGCATTCATGTCATGGATATGAAAAGTTAAGCTACGTTGATCGAGGTTAGTACTTGGGTGGGTGACCATCCGGAGAAGGCTCGCGATGCTCGTCCATTTTCTAGCGACCCATATTCACAGAAGCTCTACAAATTTAGGTGAGGTTTGCAAAGGAAGACATACCATCCCTCGGAAAGGATGTAAAACCGTTCGTCCCTTGTCTAAACAATGCAAGTAAAAGCTCCCCGCCCCACAACAAAGTGAGAGTTCGGTAAAATTTTTAGGTTGGGGGTTGCTCGTCTCTGGCATCGATGTTAAACAATATTAGCAGAAATATGTCGACGTAAAATAACCGAAAAACTAAAGCTAAATACGTGCAAACATTCTAAAAACAATTAAACCAAAATCAAAAGTTAATTTTGGGATTTATCAAGATGTTGGGCGCCTACTTTTTGATAGTAAAAAGTCGTATAGGAAGTGGACTTTTGTTTATTTATTACTATTTTGATGCAAATTGATTTTTTTTATTGAAATACATTTAGGAATTGAATGGATCAACTGAATTTCCAAAATACTTAGCGGTGTCGAAATTCTGATGTTCTTAATGACACTGTATACCTATTAGTAAACTACATGAAGTATCATAAGTCATGACGAGTCACCTATATCAAGTATAAAGATGTCTTTATCCCAAACTGTTGCAATGTGATATAAAAAATATGGTTTATTGGTATGACAATGACATTGAAAGGGTTATATATCTCTATATGCATTGACTTATTTGTATATAAGTAAATTGATCTAAATCTTCTTATTTCGATTTGAGGAGTCTGCTCTTAAAGTACTTCAGTCAGGATTTGCAACCCAGTATTTCAAATAATTTAAAGTAATTTGCTGCCTACAACAGTTTTTGTTGAAGTACACAATTTTGGAACATCCTTTGCTCAAAATTTACTCATACCTAGTTTATATTGAACTTTTGACCCTATGTATGATGAAAAAAAAGACAGTAGGCCCTGTATATGGAAATATCTCCTTATTTTTTGTTACTCTTTATACTGTGTTAGTTGAAACATCTATATGTACACACATAAAAAATTATTTACTATGAATTACAGCACAATAATCACGTATGTTATATTTCATGAATAGACTGGAAGACCTCCTTTCATTGCTATCTCTTGTTAGTTTAATAGCTTTGGAATCATTAAAAATATTTGCTGAATACTATTTCATAATGATAAACAATTACTAACTTCTTGGAATGAACTATCAACCTCGAAATTAATAACGTTTATGCGCGCGTAATAAAAAATGTCGAAAAAAAATATAAACATGGCAGGAGCGTAGAGACTGCACCAGCCGCTTCACATATCAGCATCCACCCTGTAATCTCTAGTACGCAAGGCAAGGCATTTAAACCGTCTGTAGTATAGATTGGTCAGGGTATACGAACGCTACAACCGGGTTTTCAAAACGTTAAAAGCGTTCAAAAGCACAGCACACTGCGCTGGTAACGCAGAAACGATTTTTCCGAAACAAAATCGAAACTGTTAACATTGCAGCTTAATTTTCGAACGAAGTGACAGTGACTCGGTGAATGTATTTGTGTAGTTTTTGATTTCGTTTGAGTTTTGTTTTTATTTGCCCTTTTTTGGATTAATATACCGAGAACTCGAGGTATGTGAATTTTAAGCTCTTCATTGATTTCTGTTCGACTTTTTTTAATCAATCCATTAATATTTATGTAATTTATTATTGCTGGTTTTGAATTTCATATTGCATGACTGAGGTTATTTACTCCAACCTCTGGGTTTTTAAACGTTAATTACAGAGATAAACTTGAACTTTGATGTTTATGTTTGCGTTTTAAATTGTTTATTGTCGTGACATTGATGACTACGGTTTTTTATTTTTATCCAATTTGGTAAATTGTATCGACCAGTGTCGTCGTGGGAAATGAACTAATTGCACCAAGGTTCAGTTATTTGGAATATTATTTTTTTGAAGGTGCTTATTAATTAAATAGGTACCTATTGAAATGAGCTGATGATTTAATTGCCAACAAAGCTGTTTAATTAAGCATGAAAGGTGATACTTTGATATTATCATAATTTAATTAAATAACATACATATGTACATACACTTTTTTAATATATTGCATTAAATATCTAAGTACCTATCTGTGCACTTAATTTTATATTCAAAATTGTCTTTATTGTGATAAAATCGATACATATAACGGTGTTTATTCTAGATGCATTTAATGCATGATATTGACTGATAGGAATGTATTTCTATGGTAAGTAATAATATCGATAAATCATTTATTAATAATTTGTTAGAAAACCAAATGCCATATGCCTTTAATTTTAAGATTTGTTTCCTCAAAATATTTTGTTTTTATAATTTTATAAATCAACGCAAATTAAGTTTAATAATTCTTCAAAAATGAATAAAGAAGTAATGTTATTCCTCAAAAAAAAAAGTTCTACTGTGCTTTGATGATACAACTAAATTTGGAGAACAATATAAGTATCTCGTTTGGTATTTTGTCAATTTAGGTAAGTGATTTCTTCAGCATATCCTTAAAAAAAAGTGCAAGAAAAACTCGATGGATACAATATAAATTAAAATTTGTATTTAAATGGTAAAAAATTGTAATACTTTACGTTTTTTCGATTAATGCCTTCAATTTTCAAAGATAATCTATCACATAAAAACGGCATATTATCTTTTTTATATAGGTACCAAAGTTATATATAATGACGTGTTTCTGCAATAATTTTTTATTCTAAAAACTGTAGCTAATATGTAATACGTTTTAGTATACTGTTACATTTTGACTACTTTGTGAAGTATACGTATAGCTATAGTACAAATAAGTAGGTACATTAAATTTGCCGACGAATTGCATTTCGATACAGTCTATGAAAGTTCTGGGGAAATTAAATTCTGCTGTGAATTAATATTACTATTTTTCAACTCGGTCAATGAAAAAAAAGTTCGATACAATTTTAGGGGTGAGCCATCCCCAGTGAACACCCTGTAGTGCTTCAATTAACTTTAAATCATAGTCAAAGAAGACCAGTAATAAACCTAAGTCATATACCAAATTTGGTTCTTCTATGGCAAAGTGTTGCAGATATTAATTTTTTTCAAAATTTAGGGCCCCACCTTGAGGGCTAATAACTCGTCAGGGTGCAACTTTGTATATAGGTAAGTTTGGTTAAATTACAATATTTTGGACACCCTACATACACCTGCTCTGTGTCGATAGGGACACCCTGTATAGGCAATGTAAAATTTCACTTAAAAATTACAGTTACAATAGCATCAAATTAAAGAAGTTTTGCAGGGTATTTTTTCAATCGCAGTGTTAAAAAAATAAGCCGCAGTCAAGTCTAAAAAATGTAGACATAGTTGTTACAACTATTTTAAAACTGAAAATTTTTAACAAATTTATTGTGATGCCAGATTTCATCTTGTAATAAATTAATAAAATTTAATTAGTTTAGATCGTTTAGAACTAAAACACTTATTTCATTATGTTTTTACGAATTGGATATGCCAAAAAAAAGGAACCCACTTTTTAGGTGATGCTTTTTCTGTGTACCCAAATATATAGTAAATTATTTTACTGCATCCTGATTCTTAAATTTGCTGTAGTAAATTCTAGGAACGGCAAACGTAATTTACATAAGGATCATAAGAAAAACCTCAATTGGTTTACTATTAAATTGATGTGTTTCTTGGGATCAGTCCAAGAATATGTCATTGATATATTTTTAAATTTCCGTTTCAAGTCATAAAAGTGCGGTGAAAAATAATTTTATCGGCCATTTTAACATAAACCATAACTATTTGAAACTATTGAAAACAACAATACACCACAAATATTATGTATATTTTTATTTCAACGACTTTTATATTTCTATTTTGTTGATTTTCGTGTTTTATTCATACCTCATACTATCATCTGCTTTCTTTATTTGTATTAAAAAGCAGGTCAAGATTAGAACAGACTAGACATATTTAAATTATGATTTAATCGAAGATATAATGCAGACTCCTAACCAAATAGAGTACACAAATTAATGGAAGGAAGATAAAAAAAAACTCTTGTAGGCTACTCGTATTATGGAGAAAGTTTCCAAAAGTAAATAAAAGCTTCCTCCTAATTTCCAAATTCAAAAAAATTCGAATATAAAAATGAAGTAAAAATGTACATATATATGGGGGCCCGCGAAGAGACGAAAAAAGTAGTTACTATTTGTGTTTGACTTTTAAAAATAATTGTCGAAAAAAAAAGAAAATATCACCAATTTCAAGTATGCCAATAATATAATTTTTTCTCAATTGTAAAGTTTTTGGAGGATACTATAAAAATTCTCCCTTAAAAGATGTTTACATGAAATTATGCCTTTTATTAGTGCAGAGATTAAGAATGTTTACAACAAAATGTTACTATTGTTATAGCTATAAAATTTGATTAATGTTTTTTGCTATTAATTAATGTTCGGGCAACGCTGTTGGTGATTTTTAAGGTAGTTTTAAAGAATAAATATGTTAAAATAATTTTGGGTATACTGGGTGTTACATTTTTAAAAATATATAAATACAAAAATATTTCGGAAGCCGTGCGACATATTAATAAACCTTAGGCATTTCCTATGAAATGAAATTAAGAATTATGTCAGTGGTGGAGTCAAAGTGGTGTTTTAGAGACAGTATCTCCCGGTATCTTCATTACTGTATCTATAATTGTATATCTATGTCAGTTTTTTTATCTTTATTTATTCAAGTCGCTTCCTCAAATTGTATTAATCTATCTTAAACATGTTCTGAGATTTGCGTATTTGTGATATTTGAAAAAAAATCTATACAAATGTTTCTCAATATTTTGAACTTTGTGATAGAAGTAATAAAAGTACAAGATACTTACTTTTACTTTGCTATTTTATTAATATTTTAGATACATTAAGAACTGAATTATAATATAATTATTTTTTTAACAACCTTTCGAATCATAGATTTTAATTTAGCCGGTTTAAAAACTAGATCTATCTTTTAAATTTTCCAATTTATTTATATCCAATAAAACTGCAAAATAATGTCGAGATGATCGGTTTATATTACTAACTGTTCTTATAGTACACAAACAACCCACATCCCAATCCCACGTAAAGTCGACACCGCTTATTTTGCTAAAAACAATAACCTTTTAAATTAGGTAATGATTATATGTCGTGGGAAGGGACGAGAATGTGCATCGGGCTCAGTTTATTGTCTGCAAGTGACTCGAGCAACAATAAAGTGCAGAGGAACAAACGAGAGAGTTGAGACAAACGTAACTTATTTTATTCAATTTTTATACTCTTTGTATATCTGTTGCGACAGCGGTATATTTGGTGGGACATTGTTGTACTAGCGCGATTGCGAGTTGTGGTATTAAGTCGGCACTTGCCTCGTAACCTGACTTTTGATATACAAGGTGTTTCAGATAATTTGTTCTTTATTTATTACTAATTGTGAGTATAAACGTCATTTATCAAAATTGAACCACCTTTGGGATATAGCTCTAACAGAATTTATTATTTCGGACAAAAATCAACACAGAAAGTTTCAATAATATTTCAAATAAGTACTCAAAAATTTTATTTCTCTCCCTATTCCTAATCACGAAGGGCATATCCTCGGGCGTACCAGTCCGGACAATGATTAATTCGAAATAGCCACATAGCCATGGTATACCAATTAGCACATTTCTGTTTTAGTTAATATGTTTTGAATTTTGAGTTGATTATTGTTCGCAGCCTACTCAGTTATAGCTTATAGGAATAGTCACAAATGTAGTGTACAGTTCGAAACAGTAAATTCAAAATTAAAATGCATGAAATTTCCACTTTTAAAAGAAATATTAGATAAAAAATACCTTAAAACATAAAAAGCAAAACTGTTAGGTTCGACATCCACTCTTGTAGAATTTTCCGATTGTTTCAGTTTAACTTTTGCTTTTATTACCGATTAATACTACTAACAGTGACCCAAATTATTGTGGTTACCATTTTTAAACATTTACTGGTCTATAAAACAAGTTTATAGTAACAGTTTATTATTTTACCACATAGTGGTATGACTGACGTAATGATAGTGAAAATACGTATTTAGTTCATAATCACTGCTCGAAAATAATCAATATACAGAGTGTAAGAAGTTTGACTGCCATTACTTCAGCATGAGATAAGAGTAATCATAAATGAACAAAAAAGTTGTATATTAGAGGGACATAAGATTAGCAGTTTTCAAAATACTTACAGCGAGTATTGATATTGAGGAGTTTCACCACAACGTGACAACAGCGCTTAATATGCTGATTGTCACCATGTCACACGGCAGACTTGTCCTACGGAAAAAATGTAAACAGCTATTATTGTGAAAGACAATTGTTTTCCAGTTTTTAAATAAATAAAATAAAATGTATCGATTTTGTAGTACGAAGATAGTGTTATGCTTAAATTTTAGCTCGAGTTTTAGTAATTATGAATCTCTTAAAACAGGAACTTAACATTCAATCAAATTACGTATTTGAATTCGAATCCAATTTTCGCGCACTCGCAGGAAAACAGCTCAAGAAAAGGAAAAACGAGTAGTGATACGCAAAAAACACTCCGACACGG